TTTATATAGGGACTTACGCTTTCACAGTGTCATCAAAAAATCTCTCATCTTTGTCACTAAATGATACCCTGAACGTCTATTACCTGGTCGTCTGTTTTCCTTTATGGCTCCTTGGAGACGTATGGCCCCGAAAACAAGCCGCAGAGGCAGGCACTGCTGAACTGACGTCCCCCAGTGCTGAGGTTGGGCCCTGGTTCTCTTTTCCTTTCCAGCTGGCTGCATGAGTCATGACACTCAGGTCCCACAGTGGCAGCAAAGGCAGGACTTGGGGGGGGGGTGTAGGCACGCGTCTATGCATGCTCCAGAAGCTTTGACACAGCAGGGAAGGGTTGCTTCTTTGTGTGCTGGGGGTGTGAATATGAGCTTGAGCCTTCCTTTCCTAAGGCTGTTACCTTTCTTGTTACTGACAGCTGTGGTTTCTTTGTAGCAGCATCTCGTATGTATCCCTGGCTGGCCTGGACCACCATGTAGACGAGGATGGACTCAGACTCACAAAGATCTGTCTGTCTTCCTTTGCCTCCCAAGGGCTGGGATTAAAGGTATGAGCCACCACTTCCAGGCTCGCTTCCTCCTCCTCTTCCTCCTCAATTTATTTTGGCTCATGGTTGAAGAGGATTTAATCCATCATGGGGAAGGCATGGCTGTGGTGGCTTCATGGTAATTGAAATATGGGACCGGTACTCCTAATTTACTTCTACAAACTTCAAGAGTTGTCCCAGGGGCTGGAGAGATGGCTCAGTGGTTAAGAGCATTGCCTGCTCTTCCAAAGGTCCTGAGTTCAATTCCCAGCAACCACATGGTGGCTCACAACCATCTATAATGAGATCTGGTGCCCTCCTCTGGACTGCAGCCAGATATACAGGCAGAACGTTGTATACATAATAAATAAATAAATATTAAAAAAAAAAGAGTTGTCCCATCCAGGCTCCCAAAACAGGGCCACCAGTCGGGGACCAAATGTTCCAATACAGGGGCCATTTGGTGATAGTCCACATTCAAACCACAATAATTACAAACTTCTAGAATTCCTCATTCTAGGGGAGAATTATTTATTTATTTATTTACTTAAGATTTGAACTTATAGTCTGGGAATGTAGCTCAGCTGGTAGAGAGCTTATTTTCCCAGCAGTCACTAAGCCCGTGGTCTGATCCCTAGCATCATATAAATCAGATTTCATAGTTCACATCTGTAGCTACAGTACTAGAGAGATGGAGGCAAGATTAGAAGTTTAGTTCATTTTTTTTTTTTGAGACAGGGTTTCTTTGTGTAACAGCCCTGGCTATCCTGGAATTCACTTTGTTGACTAGGCTAGCCTTGAACTCACAGAGATCCACTGCCTCTGTCTCCTGAGTGCTGGGATTAAAGGCATGTGCCACCACTGCCCGAAGATCAGAAGTCTAAGGCCACCTTTGGCCAAAGACAGAGTTTGAGGCCAGCCTGGGTTATATGAGACATGTCTAAAATAATTAGCTTTGGGGCTGAAGAGATGGCTCAGAGGTTAAGAGTACTGGCTGCTCTTCCAGAGGACCTGGGTTTGTTTCCCAGCACCTACAAGGTGGGTCACAGCTTCTTGCAAATCCAGTATCAGGATATCTAAAGTCCTCCTTTGGTCTCTGTGGGCACTAGGCACACATGTGGTGCACATACATTTATGCAGGCAAGACACTCATACACATAAAATGAATAAATTCAATGTAAAGTGTTATCCTTTTACATAAACACCTAGACATTGCTGGCACATAATAGATGTGCTGGCTAATTTTATGTCAACTTGACACAAGCTGGAGTCATCTGCGAGGAGAAACCCAAACTGAGAAAATGTCTCCTTAAATTGAAATTGGGCTGTAGACAAGCCTGTAAAGCATTTCCTTCTTTTCTTCCTTCCTACCTTCCCTCCCTCCCTCCATCCTTCCCTCCTTTCCTCTTTCATTTTTAATTAATTAATTTTTTTTGAGACAGTTTCTCTGTAGCTTTGGAGCCTGTCCTGGAACTCACTCTGTAGATCAGGCTGGCCTCGAACTCACAGAGATCCTCCTGTCTCTGCCTCCCGAGTGCTGGGATTAAAGGTGTGCACCACTACTGCCTGGCTTCTTTCTTTTAAAGATTTATGTGTTTATTTTATGTGTGAGTGCTCTTTCTGCATATAAACCTGTATGCCAGAAGAAGGCATCAGATCCCACTAGAGATGGGTTTCTGGGAATTGAACTCAGGACCTCTGGAAGAGCAACCAGTGCCCTTAACTACTGAGTCATCTCTCCAGTCCCATAAAGCAGTTTTTTAAATGAGTAATTGATGTGGGAGGGTCCAGTCCATTGTGCATGGGGTCATTCCTGGGCTGGTGGTCTTGGGTTCCAAAAGAAACCTGGGAGCAAGCCAGTTAGCAGCACCCCTCTATGACCTCTGTCTACATCAGCTCCCGACTTCCTTTGATGATGAACAGTGACAGAAACATAAGCCCAGTAAACCCTGTCCTCCCCAAGTATCTTTGGTCATGGTGCTTCATCACAGCAATAGTAACCCTGACAGTAGGTGTTGGGTACTGAATCAGTTAGAGCATCCCTTCCTCCTTGGGTGCAGAACTCCCCTGAACTGTTCACACCCCAGCACCAGTCTCCCAGCTACCCCCCCCCCCCCAGTGAGCTGAGTTACTTGCCGAGGTGCTCTAGCCTCCCTCTGCTTTGTTCATGACTTTTCCTCCAGTCCCCTACCATGGCAGAAGGCAGGTGAGACTAGGGGGTGGGAAGGTGTTTTTCCCTTTCAGAGTAGGGCGCATCTGGAGGATGCATATGGAGGCCTCTCCTCAGGTCTTAGGGTACTGATGGAATTCCAGAGCGGGCGGGTTTAGACCAGGACTGAGAAGACCCTGTTGCCTCTTCTCTGAGAGTCTGGTCCTCCAAGAAACCCTTTGCTGGCAATTTCTCTCTCTCTTGCACTTCCATGGGTTGTTTGCTTGCTTGTTTGGAGACTAGATCTTGGTCCAGCCCAGGCTGGCCTTGAATTCAGCTTCCCAGGTGCTGGGGTTGTCACAGGCATGACCAACCAGGCCTTCAGTCTGCAATGTTTTGAGGGCTACAGATTTTCAGTTGCCATCAGAACCAGAGACAAAACCATGACATCTGCCCTGGGTGGCAGGGGTTGGTCCATCAGGCCTTGCTTGGGACTACAGGATACTGGAATTTTTCACCCAGATGTTGATGGTTTCTCTGTTTGGGTCGGTATGAATATGGAAACCTGCCTTGGAATATTTTCTTCATTACTTAGAGGGACAGTGAATATGAAGTGGTTTTGTAATGAGTGACAATGCTGAATTAGTCACTTAAACTCTTTCACCTCATCGAGTGCATGTGTATGTACTCACATGCGTGTGTGTGACACACACACGCACACCTTATCAGTCTAGGATTAGAGCTAGCAATTCTCTTAGCAACCATCAAAACCCTATAATTTTGGCACTTGCTCAGATAAAAACTGTTTTCTGAAATGATTTCATTTCCATATTAAATCATTAAGAGCATTTCAAAGCAGAAAACAATGTGGGATTTAGACAGATGGCTTTGTTTGTTTGCTTGTTTTCTCACTATGTAGCTGGCTCAAACTCAGTATTTTCTTGCCTCTGCCTCCTGAATGCTGGAGTTATAGGTGAGAGTCAGCATACCTGGTTAGGTATATTTCAAGTGGTTTTTGAACTCATGTTATTGGCTAAGGACAACAGCTTGCACCAACATACTTGGCTTCATTTTTTGAGATCGGGTCTGAAGTCTTATAGGCTTATTCCCAGTTTACATGATACTGGGATTGAACTCAAGGCTTTGTGTATGCTATGTAAGCATTCTACCAACGGAGCCAAGTACTCTGCCTTAAATGAAATGGCTTGGCTTGCTAAGATGACTTGGCAAGTAAGAATATGTGCTGCATAGGTCTGATGACCAATCAGACCTCAGGAACCCTTAGGAAGGGGAGGAACATCTCCTGAAAGTTGTCCTCTGACTGCTATATGGCATACATACCTGGACACACATATCTGTGATGTGGGATTCCCTTCTGTATGCTGGGAAACAAAAGCATAATCTCTGTTTACACACCTGTATACATACACCTGTACACACACATGCATATGCATGCACATACCTGCATACACACACCTACACACATACGCACCTGTATATACACATATCTGCATACACACATACCCTCAAATAAACACACCTGTACACACATGCATATGCATGCACATATCTGTATACACACACCTACATACATACACACCTGTATATACACATACTTTCATACACACACCTACATACATACACACCTGTGTATACACATACCTGCATACATACACTTGCACACACACCTGTATATACACATACCTACATACACACCTGCATATACACATACCTGCATACACAGCTGCATACAAACACAGCTACATACACCTCCCCAGATAAACACATACCTGCACACACATACATACTTGCATATACACACATACCCGCATATTCACATACACCTGCATACATATACACACTTGTATATACCCCCACATACACAAACTTGCGTATACACACACCTGCATACATAGCTATATGCGCACATAGCTGCACACACACACCTGCATATATACACACACCTGCATACACACACACCTGCATATATACACACACATGCATACACACACACCTGCACACACACCCCAAAATAAATAAATAAATGAAAAATTATTTTCTTCAGAGTACCTCGGCTTCACTGTATCCTGTTGACCAACCCTTTCACAAGCATAGACACCTGTCCCCCCCACCCCCTTAGGTGCCAAAGGTGACAGTAGAATCATCAAATAGGCTGGGCTTGGTGACCGGTACCTTTAATCCCAGCCTCAGGAGGCAGGAACAGGTAGGTGGATTGGAGTCCCAGGCCAACCTTGGCTACGTAGTGAGTGCCAGGCCAGCCAAGGCTATATAGTGAGACTCCTGTCTTAAAAAAAATTATCTAATGGGGACATTATTGAGTGTCGTTTATCACTGTTCCTCTGAGGGTCTGCGAATATGAACTGAAAGTAGACAGAGTAGCAGGAGAAAAGTCATGCAAATGTGTTTAACTCACGAGGGGAGAATCACAGGATGATGCCTGCATAATCGGGTGGGGATAGATACCTTTCTTCGTAGAGCAGAGGAAGTGGGGATCTAGGTAATTTTGAGGGGTAGTAAATGATGTTAGGGAAGATGAATGGACTCAGGAGGCAGAAATTATCTTGTAAATGATTCTCTGGAAATGTGAATGAGCCCCAGAGAGAGATAATATCTTGTAAATGATTCTCTTTGGAATTGGAATGAGCTAGAGGGACGAAAATGATTCTCTTTAGAATTGGAATGAGCCACGGGAACAGACAATATCTTGTGACAGAGTCCATCCAGGTGTGCCGTTACTAAGCCTTCTTTTCCGTGAGGTGGTGCGGTCTCACGGAGAGGAGGGGAGGCAGCTGTGTTCTCTTTGATGGGTTCAGCACGAATGACATGTTCTGTGGGGAAAGAGGTTATGTGGACTTTTGGAGCCGCAGATCAAAGGCCATAAACCAATACATTTACCAAGAATGTGGGTGGGGCCAAATCTTTCTACTTCCCTCCTAGCCGTCTCCCCTCCTCCCCTAACCTCCTCTCTGCATTTCTTCATCCCTCCTCTTTCTTCTCTGCTTTTTTCTTTCTCAAGATAGGGGCTAGTATCGAAGCTGGCCTCAAATTCAAGAACCTCCTGCCTTAGGCTCTCTACTGACTGGGGAAATCTTTTTTATAGGTTTTCAATGTCACATTGTTACTTTGGAATTGGCAGAGGCTAGCTCAGTGACACGTTCTGAGAGGGTAGCACAGGTCTGCAAGGTTTTACTAGAAGTCCCAAGGGTGGCAGGTCAGATCCAGAGGCAGAAGTAGGTGATAATCACAGGGCTGAAGCCTAGGCGCATCGGGGCTCTTGACCAATAACACTCTGTCATTGAAGGACCTCAGTCTGTCTGCTCTTTGCTCAAAAGTCAAGATGAGAGACTGTAGAAAGAAAACAGGTTTATCCAAGGGTTGGCGTCTTGAGAAGATGCAGGAGTTAATGCATCTGCTTCACAATGAACCTGCCCCACCCCCCCACCCCCACAAAAAAAAATCTTAAGGACATTGGTCTATAAAAGGGCTTTTATAATGAGGGAGAGGAGATGCAGAGGGCAGTGGACAGGAAGGCCATATGCTGGGTGGCTTTGTGTCATTCTGTACCTGCATTGCCTTTTTATCATCTGTTCCCAACTAACCTTGACCTCAGGGGTAAGTAGTCCCCATAGACTTTAGATTGCTAAACTACTTAAGTTAAATCTCCCAGCAGTTTCCGTGCCCTGTCAGTTGACTCATAGAACTGAAGAGTAAGGAGGGGCGTTACACAGTCACATTCTGATGTCACCAGAGGGTGCCAGATGTTTTGGGTTCCATAGATCTAAAGAAAGGTTATTTGGCAGTTAACAACTTGACTATTTAGGTGCAGCATTTCTCTAGAATGTAGGAGGGGATGTCAGAGGAGAAACCACCAAGGAGTAGCCACACTCTCTCCACAACCATGCCATCTTACTTAGCTAAGATCCAGCAGTCTGCAGGATCTAACAGAGATGCAGCTTCTTCTGAGGATGTCAGCAGCACATTGCTGTGACTTGATCCTAGGTTCAGGTTGGGGGGATGGGACCACAGAATGGCAATGTTGAGGTGGTGGGAACTTTTAAGCTTTGTAGTCCAGAGGTTGTAGGACTAGCTCAGCAGTGAAATGCATTGACAGCTCTTCAAAAGGACCCAGATTCCATTCCCAGCATCCACATGGTTGCTCACAGCTGTAGCTTCTGTGCTACTACATGTACTACGGTCCTGTAGCGCCTGTACTACGTGTACTATGGTACTATGCCTGTAGCATACTGCCTGCACTACAGATGTTCACGAGCCGGGCAAGGACCTGGAGACTGACACACACACATACAGAGACAGAGACATGGGGACACGGGTCATCCTTGAATTCCCCAAGAATGCCAACTTTATTGTGTTCCAGGGCAGCTTATATAGTGCCTTCCCTGACCAATGGCCACACCCTAGCTCTCGGACTCCTTCAGGTACAGCCACCAGAAACCACTCCCCTGTCTCGTGCTCAGAGCAGCTGCAAACACAGGGAAAGCTGCAAGCATAACAAGTTGTTTACTCTGGCATGCAAGGGGGTCACAGGAAATTCAGGGTCTGGGGGTCCACAGTCCCCAACACACAGCTGCCTGTAACTCCAGTCCTAGAGGCCATCTGGCCTCTGAAGGTGCTGCATTGACATCCATGCAGGCAAAACATGCATACACATAAAATAAAAAAGACAACAACAAGAAGATGGGTGGTGGTGGTGCACGCCTTTAATCTCAGCATTTGGGAGGCAGAGGCAGGTGAAGCTCTGTGAGTTCATTGCCATCCTGGTCACATAGTGAGTTCTAGGATACTCAAAGCTATCCAGAGAAAACGTATCCCTAAAAACAAGAAACAAACCAACAAAGAAATGGAGTTGCCTAGTGAAAGTTATCTAGATCGTTTGGGGAGGGGAACATTGTGGTCCCCCAATATCTTTGCTTTTTTGGTTTATTGTGTTGGGAGATGATGTGGGGTGTTGGGGGTGGGACTTCTTGCAAAAAACCTGCTGTTTGGACTTTCAGCATCTGAAGCTATTAGCCAAATAAATATCTTTTCTCTGAAGGGTTAGTTTGTGTCAGAATTTTATTTTATAGTTAACTGAAGTTTTCAGGAAAAAGGGGCTCCTCCATCAAACCATCTACAAGGCCAACTGACTAAGAACTTCAATGATTGTGGGGCTGGAGAGATGGCTCAATGGTTAAGAGTGCTTACTACTCTTCTGGAGGACCTGGGTTCAAGTCCCAGCACCTACATCAGGCAGCTCCCTTCCAGCTTCCTCTAACTCCAGCTCCTGAACACACAGTGCACATAAATGCTTGCAAGCATATGCATAAACTAAAATAAACAAATGCTTGAAAAGAACTTCACTGATTGTAGAGTCAGAACGTCGCAGGTCGAGAGCCAAGTCATCTTGGGCTATCACTAGTTTGTTAAATAGTCTTGTATTCTCCACCTGTGTTTACTAACATCCTTGGAACTATTGGGCAAATCTTTTTGAAATGTTCAGAGAGAAGCCTAGCTTCCATCAACCCAAAAGCCAAGAACGAACGACATTAGATAACATTTAAGGTCTCTAATGGACATTTCCTTACTTTGCTGTAACCGCCTCTCTGATATTTTTACCAATGCATTTAAGAAGTGTTTTGATTTAGGTTTTTTTTGTTATTATGATCAAAACTTTACAGAATGGTTACCATGTTGGATCGTGGTACTTGGGGTGACTTAAATCTTTGTTCCTGGGCCATGCTCACTCATATTTCATTCCATAATAAACTATCTCTCATTTCCTTTGATATGAGAGCTGTGCTTTTATTTTTGCATTGACATAGTAATGAAAACTGACTAATATACTGACCTGTGAGGACTTGAGCAATTGCTCGGTGGGCATTGAGGGAGCAGCCATGGTCTTTCCCGCATATTCCTGGCGTCAGTACAGAATATCCTTTTCTTTGGAGAGTGGGAGCCATTTGCATGATGCTTTAGCTCTTTGGCTCACTAATCTCTTTCCTTTCCTTTCTTTTCTTTTTGTTTTTCGAGACAGCCCTAACTCTCCTGGAACTAGTTTTACAGACCAGTCTAGCCTCAAAGAGATCTGCCTGCTTCTGCCTCCCAAGTGCTGGGATTAAAGGTGAGCGCCACCACTGCGTGACTTGATTTGCTAACTTCTACAAATTCTGTCCTAAGAAAACAATCCTGAAGATGATGGACACTCCATGCCCAGTTAGATCAACGTAACATCGCTGGAGTTGGTAGATGAACAAACACGTTAACTGCATGTTCCTGGGGTTCTTGTCCTCAACATGGTCTTGAGGAAGAGGATTCACATGAGGATTCTTCTGAGGCTGATGACGCTTGTGACTGGGAAGCTGCCCGCCTGGACGAGAGGCACTTTTGGTTTTGTCTTCCGTTCTTCTCCGTTTTCTTCCCCTAACATTTATTTGTTAACACTTTAAAGATTCATTTTTACTATTTTTAATTCTGTGTGCATGTTTGCATCTACACATGGGTCTTTGTGCGTTAGGGTCAGAGATCCCCCTCCCCCCCCAGAGCTAGGTAGTTGTGAGCTGTCTGATGTAGGTTTTGAGACCTGAACTCGGGTCCTCTGCAAGAGCAGTACATGCTCTTAACTGCTGAGCCATTTCTCCAGCCTCTTACTCGTGTGTGTGTGTGTGTGTGTGTGTACACGCCACAGCATGCTTGTAGAGGTCAGAGGACAACTTTTGTGAGTTACTTCTCTCCTTCTACCATGTGGGTCCCACCTTTTACCCCTTGAGTCATCTCTCCAGCCCCCACACTGCTTTCTTGGTGGCCCTGTGCTGATACCTACTCACTCCTGGCCACCTTTGTGCACAGACCCCCCTCCAAGGTCTAGTGTCATCGTCTCCCATGCTAACACCCCACCCCCAGACTCACTTCTGCCGTCAGAAGCCCTGCCATGTGCCGCTTCCTCTTCATCCTGCTCCTTCTCTTCCATCCAGCTGTGGGACAGAGGCGAACTGAACAGCCATTGAAATACCATCTGAGGACAAAACCAAAAGTGCTTTTGAATTCTTTAAAAACCAGTCCATAAAATAGAGGTCGCCTGTCAGCTTTGTACCTAGAGGAAGCAGGAGTCTGGCTCAGCCGTCCATTTGCTAAATCCATCAGGCCGCTCATTCAGAGAAACTGGAAAAGAATCTGAAAAATGCTAAGCTGTTGGCAAAATGGAAAGCAAGTTTTGAAAGAATTCAAGAGAAATCTGTGTCAACTGAAAAGTTCTTATTTGAGACCTTGCGGATTTGGAATACTGTTATATAAAGAGTGTGTCAGAAGGAGGCTAAGCGACCTTTCAGTTTTTAATGGTTGGAACATATCTTAAATTATTGGTGAGAGTTGAAGAATATACAGTGTTTAAAAAAATATTCCTTAGCTGGGTGGCGGAGGCGCACGCCTTTAATCCCAGCACTCAGGAGACAGAGGCAGGCGGATCTCTGTGAGTTCGAGACCAGACTAACTACAAGAGCTAGTTCCAGGACAGGCTCCAAAGCTACAGAGAAACCTTGTCTTGAAAAACAAAAACAAACAAACAAACAAAAAAAGATATTCCTTAAAATAGTATTTGGGCCGCCAGTGTCCTGGCTAAGTGTGGTAAGTTGGTCACTTGGTAACCAACTGAGAAAAGATGGATGTTCACGGAACTTGTGAGACCCACAGACCCAGTGGTGTGTGATGTATGAAGACCCTGGCTGTGGACAGTCGGTCCTATCTTGCCTCCTCTTTATCCCTTCTTGGCACCTCCCCCTTTTGCACACCACTCCTTCTTCATCCTTGGACCCAAGCCCCTCAGAGCCTAACCCCCTCTTCCTCACAGTGCCCCTTTCTTTCCTCAAGAACTCCATGCGGTCCTGTTTTCATTTCTAGGGTCTTCTGGAGTCACTACCTGTCTGGGCTTAGCTCAGGTCTCCCTGAGGATCGTCTGCTGAGGTGTGGAGTGGTGTCTCAGTGTGTCACAACCCTGCCTGACTCCTTCCCTTTCCCCGACCAGGTTCCCACCAGGCTGTCACAGTTATGACCCCACTCGCCAGACTGAGGGATCGTTGTCACTTAGTACCATCCTCTGACATGCCTAGGTGCTGTAATCCTCCCCACGGTGCTCTGCCACCTAGCTCTCTGCAGGGAGCACCCTCCTCCATCAAACCAGGGTGCTGTATTCCTCCCCACAGTACCCTCTTGTGCTTGCATGTGCTCTTTGTCTAAGGCTTGCCTTCCATGTCCCAGAGGGCGGGTTCTTTGTCCTCTTTGCTGCTCTGTCTTGGTTCCTACAATCAGGCCATGTGTCTAGCAAGTCCTTGCTGAATGGCTGGAATAGTCTCAAGTCCTCCCCAGTGAGAAATGCCCAAAGCCACATCTCAGAGAGGATAGGCTCTGGATGGTGGCTGTCTCCTGCCAACCTTCTTCTCAGATGTCCATACCTCCGACCTCAGACTAGTCCAGACCTCCACATTTCCCCATAGTGAACATTGGATTTTTACAGATGAGCTTCAGAATTCCTCAGACAATTTCCCCCAAAGGTTCATTGATTTCGATTGTTTGAATCAGGATCTCGCATATCCCAGGCTGGCCTGTGTATAGGAGGATGACATTGTACTTCTGCCCTACCTCCCTTCTCTGAGTAATGGGGTTACAGTCCCATGAGATTACAGCAAGGGCTGGTTCACGCAGTGCTGGAAGTGGAAAGCCTGCCGAGCAAACACTTGCTGTCTGCTACCCTCAACCTTCTACCTTTCTTATATTTTCTAAATATTCGCAAGAGGAAAGGAATTGGTTTGTGGATGTTTACTTTGTATCCATTCACTTCAAACTTTAATTATTGTTTTTCTTGAGATGTCTCACCTTGTAGCCCTGGCTGGCTTCAAACTTAGGATCCACCTGCCTCGGCCTTGTGAAAGAATGGGATCACATGAGTGTGTCACCTTGCTTAACTCAAGATGTTTCGTTTGATTGTTACGGAATGAAATTGGTCTCAACAAATGACAGTGGTGTCTCCTTCCGGCTCCTCTGGGCCCTGCCTCGTTTTCAGCTGTTTCTCATTGCATTGGGCGGAGCGGATCCTTTCTTAAATAAACCTCTCATTAGGGAAGACATTCGGGACTGCACGGAATATTTTAAGAACACAGCCATGAAAGTGACATCCCCACCTCTGGGAGGCTGCCAGGGCAGTACTTAGAGGAGATTCATCGCTCCCAGGGCTTACATTAAGGAGGGAAAGAAAGAGAAACAATAAATCAAGTCCATGTTTGATGAACTTTGTTCCCTTTAAGCTACAAACCAAGAGAAAGGAGAAAAAGGAAGTAATAAATTTAAACAAAATGGAGGAAGAGCGAGTTGATAAACTTAATCAAAAGCACCTGGAGGAAATGACCTTTGTGCAGAGTGGGGCAGTATGGGACAGCGACGGGGAGGGCAGGGTTCTTCCTTTTATATATCTGGAGGTAGATGGTTTTGGAGGCTGGGGCTGCTGTTGGCCCTGTGGTCACCTACAGGCCAGTGACTTCAGACTGCAGTTCTTGTCTCAGTCAATTCCTCAGATGGATTTGGGGAGAGGAAAAATGCTCAAACCAAGGAATGAACCCCAGCAGGCCCAGCATGGATGGAGAAGGCAGCGTGGAGCTTGGGGAGAGTGGTGAGACCCTCCCCATGAGTCTCACAAGGGCGCGTTTCGGTCCATCTGTTGCCACACTACATATGTGCGCTCTTCCCCCATCTCGAGTCTTTAGTCAAATGCCTTTGCAGAATTCCATGCTGATGGAGAAAAAGTCAGGTCCTTGGTTTTGTCTGCGCTCAGGCCGGAGCGCTTGGGAATGAGGTAGTTAGGCTGGGAATAGGTGGCCAGTTTGGGCTCACTGCTTCTGCTGGGCCTGCGAGGTTTCGGGGGCTTGGCTGCTTGGCTGCTTGTAGGGTTTAATATTATGCTCTTCTGAAGGGAGAACTCCCTTATAGGCTTTGAAGAAAAAAAACTCATAAGCCATTACCTAAATTTTAAAATGGAGCAAATGCAAATTAATACACTCTAAAAGAAGAAATGAACTAATGCAAAAATGTTTTACAAGCAAATGAGAGGACTGGGTTCTCAGCAGTCTGCCTGTATGTTTTTGTAACAAAATGGAAATTAATATCTTCCCAGGGGCTCATCATCTATTCCTCTCAACTCAATGTAATCTGCCGTGATTGTTTTTAATAGAGAAGAAGAAGCGCCCAGCTGCTCTTTTGAGCAAGCCAGCAGAAGGACATCTTGGAGCAGATCTGTGCTCTGCATAAAGTCCCTGGGTGGCCGCTTTGTTTTATTGTAGAAGGGAGGCCAGCTCCTCTTTTCCAGATGGGGGTCAGTGTAGACCAGGCATAGCAGGTGCTGGCTTCCCTGGTGAACAGAGACCTGGCGCAAGCAAGCTGGAGCCCCCTGGCAAGAAAAACAGAGACCCTTAAGCCCTTCTCCCCGAGACCTGGGCCTGGAGACAGGCAGGGTCACCCTGAAGGTCTTGGGCAAGGTCTCTTGGTTGAAAGGACCGTGCTACTCCTGGCTGAAGCTAAGTGATCTGAGGCAGCCACCTTGATGGCATGGGGTTTGGGGCAGCCATAAAGGATGTTTTAGGAGGCCAGATGAAGGGAATCCATGGGCTAGAGCCAGTAGAGGAGCACCACAGCAGGCCACAGGCATACTCTGTGAAGACCAGATTTCAGCAGTGACAGAGAGGCAACAGCCAGAGAGACATCTATCTGTGTTAGCTCACTGTGACCCTGCGTGTTTGGGGACCATGTCAGTGTTAAGTCTCCTGATGGGAGGAATGAATTCCTGGTGCTAGAACTTGTTGACTTGTTATAGAACTCCCTCAGGGATGCCGGATGATGGTGGCGCATGCACGCCTTTAATCCCAGTACTTGGGAGGCAGAGGCAGGGGGATCTGTGAGTTTGAGGCCAGCTTGGCCAGCAATGTGAGTTCCAGGATAGGCTCCAAAGTTACACAGAGAAAACCTGTCGCAAAAAAAACGAAAAAAAAAAAAAACAACAACAACCAACCAACCCCAACCAACCAGCCAAACAAAGAAAAACAAACAAACAAACAAAAAACAAAACAACAAAAAGAAGAAAAAGAAAAGAAACCCTCCCAGGGATGCACTATGGCTCCTTGTTTTTCAGATGGTAAAGCAAATCTCACTCTTCCTTTTCATGAGCTTAGTGCTGGGTATTAACTTTCAGTACTTTGCAAAATCAAAATATCTTGGGCAGCTTTAAGAAAGGACATATTTAATCACACATATTATTGATGTAAATTTCAAAGCTTTCAGACAGACACAGACACACAGACGCACAGATAGACAGACAACTCCTCCCCCCAGGGAATTTTTCAAGTGCCAGGCTTATCACCCAGCTCACATTCCATTGGCTCAAACTCAATCACATGGCAGCACTTAACAGCAAAGGAGGCTGGGAAATGAAGTCCAAGCAATACTAGAGAAGAAGATTGTTCTTCAAAAGAAAACAGCTTATGACTGTAGGGGAGGAAAAGATCCTTCCCCTTCAACCCGCATAGCTTTTCTACTAATTTTCTATTAGGCGACAGATTAATGAGAGAAAGAGAAGCAAGATTTATTCGCAGGTGGACTGGCACACAGACAGGAAACTCAGGAGCTGTTAGACAATGGAATCTAGGTACCCAGTTTATAAGGGGGTGGGGGTCGGAAGGGCATGGATGGGAAAGCAAATGGAGACTCCTGTGCTGGCTGGTTTTGTGCTAACTTGACACAAGCTAGAATCATTTTAGAAGAGAGAACCTCAACTGAGAAAATGCCCCACCGGCTGGCCTATGAGCAAGCCTAGGGTGCCACTTTTGAGTGGAGGGTCCAGGAGAGCTTAAGAAAGCAGGCGGAGCAAGCCAGGGGAGTCATTGGTAGCAACGCCCCTCTGCATAGAGTCCCTGGGTGGTCTCTTGTTTTACTGTGAAGCAAGGCCAGCTTCTGCATCAGCTCCTGCCTCCAGGTTCCTGTACTGCTTGAGTTCCTGTTCTGACTCACCGAGAAAATGGGCTACAGCTGGTTGGTTATGTGTTTTATCACACAATAGAAATCTTCACTAAGACAGCTCCTTTAGGAGACTGGATGGGAGATAGAGTTTGTGACAGAATCACGCCCAAATAGGGCCAGGCGTGGTGATATGGTGAAGCAAGAACCCACAAAAGTCTAATAACCAATTTATTTAGGGGGGCAGTGGAAGAACACAAACTCACCGATGTAGAACAAATCAGACGCTGCTGCTGATCCAACTGGCTTTGTCCAGCTGCTCTGCCCAAGGGTGAGGAGCACCAACTGCACCAGCTCTCCACCGCATGCTCTCCAGCCATGCCAAGAGAGCGTGTGAGAGCAAGACAGCCTTCCTATCAGCTGTTAAGTGGGTACATAGGCAGACAAGACCACACCCTAGGGCTCGTAACCCCCAAAAGCCATTGGTTAAAGAGAAAGAAATTTCACAACAGTACACACTGTTAGGACTCAGAAGGCAGAGGCAGGCGGATCTCTGAGTTTGAGGCCAGCCTGGTCTACAGAGTGAGTTAGGAAGTTAAGAGGGTCAGACTAAATGACTGCCTGGGTGTGCTGCTTCCTCCTTTGTCTCTGAGAATATTAGAGGTGCTCTGGGAGGGATTGGCAATAGTTGTGTTCTTTTGGGAGGATCTGCTTTATGGCTCACAAAGGGTCATAGGAACCCCATTGTAAAAATAATCCTACGCCAAAAAGACATATGCTTTGGGGTTTATATGCCCTGATCCCTTCCTTGCTCCAAACCCCTTCATTCTACAGCGAGATCAAGAGACCCAGGATCCCATTCACAGAAGCTATTCTGGAAATGGCAAGTTCAAAACGAAATTGTCTAAAACCCTCAATGTATGTTTGTACTAAGGTTCATGCACTTCTCCTGCAAGAGGGGATGCATTGGAGGTTATGATTCAGGGACCTAGCTCAGTAGTGCTAAGTCTTGCTTCCTGATTCTCGGCCTCCACAGACTTTCAGTCCATCTGGGTTTGGAGCAAGGAACAAAGCGACACATTCTGTAACCCCCATGTCTGGACTCCTATTTTGGCTTCCACCTCTTCTCTTTGAGACAGGGTCTCATATATAGTCTTGGCTAACCTGAGACTTGCTATGTAGACTAGGCTGGCCTCAAACTCACAGAGATCTGCCTGTCCCTGCCTCCTGAGTGCTTAGACTAAAGATGTGCACCATCGCACCTGGCCGTTTGATGCTGAACGCATCCAATGGGGAGAACACAAGTGAAATTATCCCAAGCTAACCCCAAGTGGAGTATTCTCAAGGTTTTCTTTATTAAAAGGGAAAACTCACAAAACAGGAATGGGGGTCCAACATCAAGGTGTGAAGCCCGGGAAGAGAGGGATGAGCGGACGAGACTGCAGCCTTTTGGTACCCCAAAGCCATGCCTCAACCTGGTCCAGCCTCTCAAAGGCCACTGACTGAAGGAAGTTCCCCATCAGCCATTGCTGGGGGTTCTTCTGTCATCTGCTCAGGTACAAGCACATTTTTGCTATTGTGACATCCAGGGCACATGTAATAGTTAATCTTGATTAACAAAGTGGCAAGATTTAGAATCACCATGGAAATGAATCTCTGGACATGTCTTTTTTTTTTTTTAAGATAAATTAATTGCAGTATCACAACCCATCTTAAGCGCGAGCAGCACCGTTTCATAGGCTGGAGTTTCAGACCAGATAAAAAGGAGAAGCAGGGCTAAGCAGCAGGGTCCTTTACTCTCTGCTTCTTGACTGTGGAACCCGTGTGACCAGCTGCCTCCTGCTTCTGCCACCACAACAATGGGCTGTATCCTCCCCACTGTAAGTCAAAATAAACCCTGTGCTCCTGAGCTACTTTTTGTTAGCATGATGGTTTGAATGAGATGTCCTTCAGAGTCTTGGGCACTGGTACGCTTGGTACCCCAGTTGACGGTGCTGCCTGGGGAGGCTTGGAAGGTATGGTTTTGTTACAGGAAGCATGTCATGGGGGCAGGATTTGAGGTTTCAAAGCCTCATGCCATTCCCAGTGCACTCTCTGTTTTCAGAAGTATGGTTCAAGAGGTGAGCCCTTATTTTCCTGCTCTTGCCGCCTTGCCTGCACTTGACCATCAGAGACTCTAGCTCCCTAGGACCATACATAAGTCCAGATCAGCTCTTCCTCTTGTAAGTTGCCTCGGCCATGTGTTTGATTGCGGTAACAGAGAAGTAGCCAAGGCGGTCCGGTATTTTGTCGCAGTGATGAGAAAGGTAATGTATTCAGCATGGAAGGCCATGATAAAGGGGAAATGTCAGTGCCTGGTACAGCTGGGGGTGGTTGTCACACTCCCTGTGTAGCAGATTGGGATTATCAAAGAGCCCATGAGTGCTAACCTCTGGTCTCCCCCCAGATGGTGCTAACTATAGTTGATGTAGATGATCCAGTTATAGTTGGATGTTGTTCATCTCCGAAAAGGTTCCTATGTTCTGTCTCTGGTCCATTTCGAGTTAATTTTCATGGTGGAATTTGGTGAGGGTTTCCCATCTTTTTTCACGGTAGAAGACAAGAATTCTGTAGCATTAGAGACACAGGTAGGACAAGTACCTGCCCTCTAATGTGAACCTTAGACTCAAGACAGCCCTAGGACCAGGTATTCCATATTGGTCAAAGATGAGCTAGGAAATCAGGCAATGGCACACCTTTAATCCTAGCACTCAGATCACTGACTTAAAGGCCAGTCTGATCTACATAGTGAGTTCCATGACAGCCAGAGCTACACAGTGGGGCTCAGTCTTAAAAGAACAACAACAAAAACGTCCAATCCAAAACCAAACCCAAAACAAAGATGACCTGTTGACCTGTTCACTAGAGATTGGACCCTAGTTCACCCTTCTACCCAATGCTATTCACTCCCGATTTTTGCCGTGTTTGGAATCCTCACATTCTGATTGGCTTAGCTACTTTCCAGTTTCCTTTCACACAAAGGGTATTAGGGAACATACAAAATGGGGAAGAGGCTGCCTCTTTGAGAAAGCACAGAGGGTGTGGTCCTTTCCGTAGAATAGGACTCCCTGCTGCTCCTGGAATATAGTGTCCAGTGCTGTTCCCTATTTTGCCCAAAGTCATAGAGTTGTTAAATGTCAGAGGCAAGTTTCTGACATTCGGGTCTGTTATGCCAAAGCCACTACTTAGCCCTCAGTCCTGTATAATATACTGGCCTTTCAAAGGCAACTGTGGAAGCCCAGGAGGGTGGAAAGGGGAAAGGAATTCTTTGGCTAAGACCAAATGTAGCCAGAATTATGGAATGTAGAATGGTGGGTTTTTTGTTTGTTTTGTTTCTTTTTTTTTGTATGAGTACTCTGTCTGCATGTATGCCTGCCAGAGGAGGGCATCAGCTCCCATTATAGATGGTTGTGAGCCACCATGTGGTTGCTGGGAATTGAACTAAGGACCTCTGGAAGAGCACCCAGTGTTCTTAACTGCTGAGTCATCTCTCCAGCCCCCGAGAAAGTGCTTTGTGATTACCTCTTTAGTCGACACATTTCTAACCATCCCCCCCCCCCCCGGGAAATAGCACTCCTGAAAACCAGCAAACCCTCACACAGCAGGATGGTGCACGAAGTGAACTCAATATATTATCACCCGGCGTTTTGACAAGCGGTGTGGATTGCATATGGGGAAGTTAAGGGAGTGGGGTGAAGTCATCCTAAAATGGCAGCAGGCCCCTCAAATGAGAGCCAGCTGTGCTCAGGCTGTACAGCTGGGCTCACACTCGGGCCAGTCCACATGAGAGATGAGCCTGGAGTGGAATACAAACCATCCCAGAACCCACAGGAAATGCAAGGCCCTCGCCAGGTAGGATCTACAGTAGGGACGCAATGACATTAGCAACTCTCAAGCTCCCCTCAGCCCACACTTCAGAGGAGCCCTCGGGGGCCGAAGGACTTCTGCCTCACTTTGTATATTTAAGAAACTGTCTTCTTTTAGTATCCTTCTCCCTCTTTGCTCCCACAGCTTCCTGCTCCAAGCACCTGAAAAACAATCCCACTTTATCTTGTTTAAGACTCCCAAGTGTTTGTCCTAAGCCCCTCCAGAGAGTTTTGCAAAAAGACTTAAGGGTGGGATCCCGACCAAGATCCCCTGGCTTTGAATTCCTGTTCTAATTGTTGCCTGCGATGTGGTCTAGAGCCCATCCCTGTAGGACAGGGCTAAGAAGAGTAAATGCTTCAAAGCCAGACCTGGTGGTTCATCCTGTTATAGCAGCACTGGAAGCTGAAGGTGGGAGGAGGGCCACAAGTTCAGGGCCAGGCTGGGTTAGAGTGAGATTCTGTCTCAAAGCAAACTAACACTGCCCAGCCCTCCACAACATACACATAACCCTGCCAAATAGCAAAACCAGACCTATAAGGGCAGCCACTTACTGTGTGTTTTGAGATGATTGATTTTTGAAATAGTACCTGGCATGTGGTAATTGCTGGATAAATATAGCTTATTTGTATTGTTATAAAAGACTGGAGAGAATTTGAGAGACATCAAAATCAAGATGAAAAAACTTGAGCAATTTTGATGTCAGTGGTGGTGCAGGCCTTTAATCCTAGTACTTGGGAGGCAGAGGCAGGCAGATCTCTGTGAGTTTGAGGCCAGCCTGGTCTATAAAGTGAGTTCCACAACAGCCAGGGCTACCCCGAGAAACCCTGTTTCAAAAATCGAAAACAAACAAAAATCAAAACCCCCAAACAGCATTTTGGCTGTTCCAGAGAATGGTGTGGATAGGAATGTCATGGTCTTGCAGGTGTTCCTGTTGTTGCATCACTTTGGACCTGAGCCTGCTACAAGCGTCATGGAGCAGTGTGGACATCTGAACTACCACTTCCCCTATTGCACTTATTTCAGGGATTGTCTTAGCTTCCTCTCTGTTGCTGTGGCAATGAGTAAGAAAGGCTTTATTTCAGCTTGCAGGTCACAGTCCATCATTGAGGGAGAGCAGGGCAGGAACATTGGTCTATTGTTATGAGCCAAGAAGTTATTCACAACTGATACCTGCTGGGAGAGGAAAGTCAATCTTCTTCAGTGAAGTGATGCTGGGTGTATCAACCAGACTCCAGGACAGGCCCATACTCACGATAGATGGCTAATACAATTGGGCTTCGTGGTTTTTAGTGGCTTTCTTTCTTTTCCTTTCTTTTTTAGGGTTTCTACTGCTGTGAAGAGACACCATGATCATGGCAACTCTTATAAAGGAAAAAATATTTAACTGGGGTGGCTTACATTGTCAGAGGTTTAGTCCATTGTCATCATGGTGTGGCATAGTGGTGTGCAGGCAGACATGGTGTT